TTTGACGTTACGAACCTACTCCAGCTTTCGGAATCGGATTCCGACCCCGATATCAAAAATTCCACTTCCGGTCAAACCTCTCAAAAACCTTCATATTTCTATCTTTAGACAAATGGCTCCAAAACGACCTACGGACCTCCGAATTCACTTCAGATCGCGCTCCCAACTCCAGAATCACCATACGGAGCTATTCCCAGACTCGGAATCCCAAACAGACATTGATAACACTGAAATGCACTTCAAGCCAAACTTAAGAAATTTCTTCCAAAATGCTAACTTCCACAATAGGCGCCAAAACGCTCCCGGGTTATCCAAAACCCAAACCGGGCATACGCGTAAGTCCGAAATCATCGTACGAACCTGCTGGAACCTTCAGATCCTGATTCCGAGGTCGTTTACTCAAAATTCCATTCCTAGTTCATTCTTTCAACTTTAAGCTTCCAAAATGAGAATTCTCTTTCCAAATCAACTCTGGACTTCTCGAAATTCAATTCCGACTGCGCGTACAAGTCATAATACCTGAAATGAAGCTGCTCATGGCCTCAGACTACTGAACGACGCGCTAGGGCTCAAAACGACCGGTCGGGTCGTTACAAACACCATCCCTATATAACAACCATTCATTATAAAAGCCAAATTTTTCTCAGAACCGATTTTTAAGTTATATTTTACCTCTGTATAACAGTTTTTACCTATAACAACAATAACCATATTTATAGCAAAACACTCTTTGTAAAATTACCCCTTTATAACAGCCATATAGAATCATTAAGATTAACAAAATTACTATCTTGCATAAGATATAATATTTGAAGATTTGAACATGATATCTTTTTCGTTGCACAAATTTCAAAATATATATAGATATAAAATTTAACCATTAACCTCTTAGAGTATCTTCAAGGAAAAGCTATTGTATACCTCTTTGCTGAAAATTTGGATATGAATCTTCGCCGATTCAACCGTATGTTGCTAGTAAGAGAATGAAATCTACGAAAAAAGCTACAATTACAAAGTTCTTCTATCAATCTTGAAAGAATTTATCTGTGTAGGTTGCTTTAAAATGTCCGCCTTAAGGTTTAAATATTTATATGTTTAGCTATTAATTTATCAATAATGTATTAGTTTTCTTCAATATTTAACCAGTGAATTATGCATATTTTTTGAGATTTTAAATTTGAATAATTTTCTTATCTCTTATATGTAACATTAAAAAAGAAAAATAATTAATTTTTGAATAATTTTAACTATAACATTCAAAAAATATTTAAACCTCAAATATTGTTGTAGGTGTATAACAACCATTCACTATAAAAGCAAAAAAATATGGAAACATACAAGGCTGTTATAGAGAGAATTGACTATACAATAAAACTAATTACTACTTCTTGTAGACTTGCAATAATATTTGAGCAACAACAATTATTTTGTTGCTAAATATATTAATATAATTGGAACAACTTTATGTAGTTGTTGTATAGAGTAAAATGTTTACCCATAAGTTTTTTCTTGTTGCCACATTTTGTGGGTATTATAATAAATATAAAATATTAAATAAGTTGGCAACAGTATGTTTTCATTGTTACCAAAAAAAATTATTGTTGGCGAGACATCTAATTTTCTCAACTACTTGTTTGGGTTATGGCAAAAATAATTTAGTTATGTTTTAATTTTTTCACAAAAAAGTTTAGGCGGCAAAATTTCCCTCTTTTTTGGCCTAACCCTTACACAAATTTCACCAAACACTTCAGAGCTACTAAGTAGGAATGAAACGATACTCGGCCGTCCCTCAATCCTAGTTAGGGTTTGAAATGGTAAGCTTAGTCTTCCTCTCTCTAAAAGTTATTTCAAGCTGATCACGCCCAACTATGCCTTATAAAAAGGACAACGGTCGTTGCAAATATAATCCGGTTTACAAGTCTGGAGTCGAATCCCACAGAGGACTAAGGTTTTGCTACAACTGTTCACTATCACCAAGAAGACAAGCTTGAATAATTCCTAACTTATAGATATTAAGATTCTTTTGTTTAACTAATTAACTAACAAATTAAAATAGTAAATTAACAACTAACGATACTGAGGGTTAGAGAAAAGATTAAGGAGGTCTAGAGTTATGATTTCCCCTATTGTCGGAATCCTTCCCGCTGTGTCTTCTATAATTTCGCCTAAGTATTCTCTACCGATCATGAGCACTCTTATCGCCGTAAATCTCTCCCAAGTAATTACGATAATTTACTATACGCACTCTCCCGAGCTACGCTAGCTGGCTTTTAATACAGCTCACTTCAGATCGCACCCAAGGCTTCGTTATCCCTACTCCCGCCTTTAAACCCGTAGTTATAGATCCCTCTTATACTTTGGGAGTGGTGTTGTTCAACAACTACCTAAATATACACTCTCTCCCGAGTTATGCATACTAAATAGGCACAGCTAATTGAGAGCTCTTCAATGAACCAGAATATAAACGTAGTTGAACAAATAGAGAAAAGCTATGGCTCAATTATATAAAAACATAACAAGAATTTATCCTACAAAAGGTTCTATCAAAACTCTAGATAACAAATTAGCTATTCATAATAGTATGTAAAACTACAATACTAAAAGTCATAACCAACAATGAAAAAAATAGGAAGAGGAAGGAAAAACTCGTAGAAAATTCTCCGCCTTTCTCCCAATGTGTTCTTGCCTCCAAGGGTGTTGTCTAACCCTAAAGTAGTGTCTCTCCGCCTCCTTAGGTCTAATTTGTGTCCAAAATATGTCCCCTTCTTGTTCTTGGCCGGCCTCCTTTGTTTAATATAGGGTTTAGGACTTAAAATCCCATGTTTTGCACTTTAGTCCCTGAAATTTTCGCTTCCTGCCGCGGTTTTGCCGCGGTCGCGGTGGAACCGCGGCCAAACATGCCCTCTGATTCTTCAGTTGTCCGCGACCATCTTCTACCGCGGTTCTGCCGCGGTCGCGGAAAAACCGCGGTTTTTCACCCTGTTCCGTTTGGAATTTGGAAAAACGTAAAACATGAAAGTTGTATCCCTTTGAGTTAGCTTTCCAACCATATATTGTGGAGCCCAAATGGAGTTCTGAGAAAAAAGTTATGTCTATCTTACTAGACAGTGCGCAATATGCCTCCTCAAGTCTTCGTTCGTACTTAATTATCAAATTTGACCCCCGAACACGATCCCGGCTTAATTCCTTGAGCTTTTACTCAGACTTCAAAGCTTCAAATCACTTAAATTCATTCCATAACATCTATATAGCTCGGAATCACACCTACAAGGCATAAAACAAACAATTAGTGCAAAACACTAGCGATTAAAGCACAAACTCAATTAAAGTGCAGTAAATTCGAGTGTAATAAGCGACTAAAATATGCAATTATAGCCTATCATCACAAGCTTAGGGCTTTAATTTCTCATGTAAACATATTTTTCCCAATTCAAATGCATCATCCCTGGAGAGAAAAACTTAATGACTTAGAACGATAGATCTGAGAATTTTCCAGAAGAAATCAAAGATTTAATTATAAAAATCAGTATTTCCAATGTGGTGCGTGTTCAATTCTTGATATACTTCTTTCCCTTTTCTCTTCCCTTATCCGCAATGTAATTAAAAAAAAAGTTAAAAATAACTACAAATAGCTTGTGAAGTTGACTAGTTAAAAAAGAGTTCACAAGCATCATGTTGATTTCCAGAAAACCTTAGTTTTTAGCAGCTCAGTGGATGCATGTGAGTGTTAATGACATTCTTTGTTTTTAAATCAGTTGAGATGCATCTTTAATAGTTGTTTGTCAAACTTATTTTTGGAAGTTATTGTTGTGCAATAAAATTCTAATTATTTTAAATTAATAATTTATACATATTTAATAAAATTGTAAAACAAATGCAATATTTTAACCAGCCATAACCAGTATTCTAGCTCCGCCTCGGGTACTTGCCACTTGTTACCATTTATCAATCAAGACGCAAAGGGGGTTTATGAAACTAGCAACTTTGCCATATATTATATCAAGTTTCTTTTAAAAAATATACCCTACATAACATCTTGAGATTATTGATACATGACAACGATGCAAATAACTTTATTAAATAGAGCACGAAACTAGGAATCAATGGATATTTAATTATTGCATTTATTATCAGTCAACCTCTATCCCACCTCAAAATATCTCCACATTGTCCAGATTGGGTCCATAAAGTATCACTTTCTTAATAGAAGATCCAAAATGGTATTTTCTTTTATTTATTTTCACTTCAATCACTTATTTTAAATTTTTTTCTAAAAAGTCAAAGTACAGTATGGTAGCCACAAACCCACAACTACATTTAATTACATATCTTTATTTATTAATTTAACTTCCTACTCCCTCGGGTCCATAATAAGTGATTTTTGGGCCCTTTTTCTTGTGGTCCAAAATAAGTGATTTTTTCAGATATCAAGAATAAATTAATTATTTTTTTCCTACATTGCTCTTGGCGTAAATAATGTTGGAGTATATGTTAGGAGTGTTTGTGTGAAGAGATAGTAAAGGTTAATATAGTCAATTTCATTGCTAATTAATGTTAAAATGTGAGTTTCTTAATATGTGTGAAAACAATCAAAAAATCACTTATTTTGGACCGGAGGGAGTATTTTTTTTGGTTTTAATATAGGATCTCCTCAAAAATTATTTCAATCAAGCTTCGGGAAACCAAACCAACCATCTATAGGGATCCAACAACTACCTGTAGTAATGTGGTCATTATTGATAGGAAGCTTTATTTCTAAAATTAAGATTTTTCGGCACAAATTCATATTAATACGGTCCAACGTTGCACTGAACATTGATTTAAAAATAAAAATTAAAAAGAAGCCTAACAAATGCTAATGCTACTTTAGAAGCTCACCAATCCAAGTTTCTCAGAACCCTTTTTCATTATAAAAATTAACCTAAATAGTCATTATTGATGGATATATATATATGTATAATTTATATATTTATTTATTATATTATCACTCCACTGCTAAAGTCTCCTCCTTTCCTGGTGCTACACTCCACAGCTCGAGTTCTTTTTTCTTGCAAGTTGAATCTCTTTACCTTCACAATTTCCCTTTGTGGTTCATCTGATTTCAGTCCAAAATCCCCCCAAAAAGAGCTCAATCTGCTGGAAATTTAAAAGGGTCATCTTCAAATACTTCAATTTCTTATAATCTTGAAGTCTATAGCTCAAAGGTAACATCTTTATCTTCCCATAACCAAGAAGGTTCAAATGTTGCATACAGAACCATCATTTTGTATATATAGTTCTGAAGAAAATCAAGATTTTGTGGAAAATGATGGGCAGATAGTAAGGTCTGTGATAATAGGGGATAATATATCAGATATAGGTGGTACTGATTTCAGCTTTGGGGAAAAGGGAATGGGGTTGATTGAGGAAGGTGAAAATGAAGAAGATGAAAAAGAAAGGGTTTTTGATGGGGTTAATGAACTTGGAATTGAAGAGAGTGAAGAAGTAATTAGCCCAATGTACCTTGCTACTGGATTTGGGGTTGATGGCAATGTTGTAAATAGTGGTGGTGTTGAGTTTGCACCTTCAGATTTTGATGGAAATGGAGATGTTGAGGAATATTATAAAAGGGTTCTTAAAGAAGAGCCTTCCAACCCTTTGTTCTTAAGGAATTATGCTCAAATTTTGCAGGTCAGTGTTGTTTCCTGTTTTCAGAAAATCTATTTTCTCAGTTTATTTAAAATTTAGTCAATATGTTTGATTCTATGTGTAAGTTCCTTTAGTGGTGTCCGGGCCAATTTGGGCGCACCTCGACTAATTCCGGGGTACCTGCTACCTGCCACCTCCCACCAGTACGCGTATCGGATAACTGTGTCCATCAAAGCTTGGATAGATGGAAAGAAATCACCTAAGTTACCTTAAGGGTTATATAAACTGCAAAGTTGGTATTCTAATTGGTAAACTACAGTCACCTCTCTCGATTTGATCTGATCATTGAATTCTAGTTGCTGCTGTTAAATTGCCCCTTAATAAAATAGGCCTGTTGGACAAGTACCTTAGGATAGTAACGGTAGTTTGAGTTACTTCTAACAAATTGGGATCCAATTTGGAAGCTTCTATAATCAATTGACTCGTTTCGAAGCTTAAATCCTCTACTAAGTATGGATTAGCAGTTGCATAACCAAGTCACGAAAAGGGAAAGTAAGTGAATTTTGCTTTCTTGATGTCTTGGCAATGTATGTCCACGATAAATTTAGTGGTTTTGAAGTGTAAAAAGCATACAAAATATCGCCTGATTCGAAATGCTACTCCATTCTGCATATCATAATTAGATTTTGTTATGGCTTGGCTGGAAAAGCACACAATATTACATGCTTTAGATTCTATTTGGTTTTAAAAATTTCCCCATCTTTATTCTTGTCATTTTCTTGAGATCTAGTCCTAGTCTTGTTTCTGTTTATGTGGTGACACCTTTTTCTAGAGTATGTAACCCACTGCATTCTGGTGCATAGTCAAAGGGAGATCTTTCTGGAGCTGAGCATTATTACTTTCAAGCTACACTAGCAGATCCAAAAGATGGAGATACCTTGTCACAGTATGCTAAATTGGTATGGGAGCTGCACCGTGATAAAGATATTGCATCGGATTACTTTGAACGTGCAGTTCATGCTGCTCCTGAAAACAGGTTATAATTGACTTACACCTTTCGTCGAATGAGAGAATGATTAAATATCCCTTGTTTGAAATCTATTATTGTTTCCAGCGATGTTCTTGCAGCATATGCCTGTTTTCTTTGGGATATCAATGATGACGAAAGTGAGGACGAAATGAACATGCAGAGTGATAAGACTAAGGTTTTTTTTGCCTTCCTTTCTGCTTGGCGACAAGTATATAAGTGTAAACTCTTTTTGACTGAATGTTTCTTCTGGATGTCCCAGATTGAGGTGACTGAGGAAGCTACTGCATCACGAGACCTGCATTACGAAGAAGATAACAGACGTGTTAGCTCTCCCTTACATCTTGCAGCAGGACTTGGAATTGGGGATAATAGAGTTGGTGGTGACTCTCCCGTTGATTATACTGCAGCTGTATCTGATATGGACGGAAATGCTGAGGAGTACTACAGGAGAATGATCAAAGAAAATCCTCATAACCCCTTGCTTTTAAGAAACTATGCTCAGTTTCTTTGTCAGGTGAATGTTTCTTGTTTTCTGCCTCAAATGTTCTTTATTATCACGAAATCAAGCAGTGATAATACACCACGGCGCCTCCCCATGTATGTGTCGCGTCATCACATCCATCGCCGGGGCAAACCAAGCAGTGCCCACTTGAAATCCATATAATCCTCTTGACGTAGTAAAGAGTAATTTCCAAAGCTGCATCCATCGGCACAGTCAGTCTCCTTAAGAGCGTCTCCGATGGTAGATAGTTGATTTTACGGAACAAGCTCCCCCCCCCCCCCCCAAATCCCCCAAAAGACATGCTTTTTAAGATTTCAACTATTTCTCCAAATTGTACAAAATAACCACCGTTTTACCATAACTCAATACAATTGCAATTGAGAAATATAACCACCTGCTTTAATATGAAAATTTTGTTCGTGTATTATGTCATTCCTGTCACTCAATAGGATGTACTTACTAGAATTTAATATTGGAAGGAAAAATCCGTCTCCCGTCCTTGTTTCTACTTTGAAAAAAATTTTATTGGATGGGTTTTTACATGTTTGTTGTTGGACCAGCAGAACAAGGGAGACCTAGTAGGTGCTGAAGAATATTACTCTCGTGCAATACTAGCGGATCCTACTGATGGAGAAACTATTTCACATTATGCCATGTTGATATGGCAACTTCATCGTGACAAATCTAAAGCCTCATCCTACTTTAAGAGGGCAGTTCAAGCTTCTCCAGAAAACAGGTAATATTGAATTGAGGCCCCCATCCTTATTTTCACAACATTTAAAATTAACAGAAAAAAAAAATATCACTTCATTGCCTAAACACATTTCCTACTTGGTCTGTTACTAAAACGATTTTACAGATTTATGTGATGTGTGAAGGAAATGTGTTGGGAGTATTTGATAGCATTAAAATGGTTAATGAAAGAAGATACTAATATAAGTTCGATGGTATTATGCGAAATATATTCATGGAAAAATATGAAGATTTTTGGTGATCTTTGGTATTGACGTTAAATGGTTTGCACTTTGCATTTTACATAAGAAAACATGTGGTTGCTACTTGTACCTGAACTACTTGTTTTTTGCTTTTCAGCGACGTGCTTGCTGCATATGCTAGATTTCTCTGGGAAACAGAGGAAGATGAAGATGAAGAAGACAAAGATGAAACATTAGGCAATCACAATGGAGCACCACTTCTTCAAGGAGTTGTGGCTGCAAATGCCTAAATCCTGACACAACAATGGATTCACAATCAGCTTCTGATTTCTTTTCTCACCCAATTTTAACCATAATAGTAATAGTTTTTCTTAAGTTTTCGGCCAATCTAAAGACTTATATCTTCCTCTTGTTGTGGAGATCCAGCATTTAAGATTGGAACAATTTTTAAATGTAAATGTGGTATAGTGAGCAATAAATATGTGAGAATATTAGCAGAAGATGAAAGACAGAATTACACTTGATGAGTCTGCATACATTAGGCACTCTAGTGTTGCAGCGACCAAAATTTCTCATATGGAATCATGTTATTGTTTTTCCATCACCTTTTCCCTCTATTTTGGTTTACAGGCATACGACCTTCATATCTTACAACATAATTCACCTATGGTTTGACATGTTAAAGTTTACGCCTCAACTATTAGTCAAGATGGGGGTCCGAGGGCGTGATCTTATAAATGTCATCCTCCCTGGATTATTTAATGTGGGCAAAGGGCAGTCCAATGCACTAAGCTCCCGTTATGCTGGGGTCTAGGGAAAGGCCGTACCAGTCTATTGTACGCAATCTTTACCCTGCATTTAATGTGGACTTTCCATTTTTCTTCTCTTTCATTTTTGACGAGCTAAGTTGGTCTTCTCTAGAATAGACCCCAAGCCTAACTTACAGAGCCCAAATGAAAATTCACATCGTCGGTCTCTCATTTTCCTCTATAACATAGCTGGGCATGATTTATCCAGTAATTCGCAATGCTTCTGAAGGCCAAAACAAATGTTGACAAATGACAAATCTTTGAAGACGTGCCAATCCCAATACCATTTAAAACCTGTACCAACCGATCAAGAAGCCAAAATACTAAATGCATCTGATTCCTAAGTGCTCCAACATTAACACACAAATAGGGGAGGAGAGGGCTGTTAATCCCGTTTAGGATTTACAGTTTGCATTAGGCCGGAGATATTCATGCTGGTGAGAGGAGTATGTAGATCAATCAGTTAAAAGGAAAACATCTAATGGACAACTTGTGCAGAACATCCAGCAGCAGGCCAAAACTGCATTAAAACCCCTTTTCGGTAACTTCATGTAAGTTAAAAAAACACTTGCTATTTCTGCCAAAAAATATATGTATTTGGGATGATTCCATCCAATAAATCTAAATTTTGATGCTTCTCAAAGTATACTAATCTTTTCGAAAACTTTGAAGATGAATAAGCTGTTCGCAAAATGGCTTGTATGGAAGGAAGGTATTGTCCTTCAAAAATTCAACTTGCTTATTCCCATGAGTACTGCTCATTTCTCAAGCTTTGCTGATTGCCAGAGTAAGCTCTTTCTTGCCGAGGAGCTTGTCTATAGTAACCATTTCCTCTTGATCTTCCGTAGTCACGGTCACCTCCATCTTGACCACCTCTGCCAAAACCACGGCTGCCATAGCGCCCCCTCCCGTCCATGGAGTAGCTAACTCTGCCTCTACCCCTTCCTCCTGTGTCCCCAATTTAAAGACAAACCATAAGAATTCAACATTTTTTGGAAGCAGAGCAAAATAAATTTTCATGACATCAGATTTTAGTAAAGTCACTTGTGAAATGAAAGAAATGAAGCAGGAAGCCACCAGACAAGGACCAGGCTTAGTGATTCCCTAAACAGTCCTATTTCGGCTATTACAAGCACACAGGAACCTAATATAGGCCCTATTTACTTGTGAGTATTAAAAAAAAGGCCCTACTTCAACTGATAACAAACACTAACTATTTACTAGAAATCAACGAGGTCCTAAGTAAGTTCTATTGATACCAGCATACATATGAATTGTTTTGAGACCAATACCATGGTGAAGAGGTGGGAGCCAAATATTTACAATTGCAGCCTGACAGAGAATGCAAGTGAAATAGTGCGATTATAATCCCACTGAGCATATTATTCTTCTCTACTCACTGTTTTTCATCATTCATGATACCACTTTCATTTCGAAACCGGGTTATTGCAAGTAACCCCAGGAAGTAGTAATGTTCATTGTTCATTTTATACTGAATTTTCACATGAAGACACAGCTATCTCCAGGGTTAAATTTTACTCCAAGAACTGAAGAGTAAGTTAAGAGGATGGTTTGGTTGATCCATGTTCTTTGACGTCCCTTATCTTCCACCAAGTAGGGAACCAAAGTAACTGCCATGCACCGCCAAAACAAAAGTAGAAAAGCTGTTCTGCTTACTCTCCAAATAGGCTGAAATATGAGTATTTAATTTGATAGGGTTTTTTGTGGACTATAGAAGAGTGCCAAAAGCACCTTCTTGAATTGCTAAAATTGTGCTTAGTGATCACACCTAGTAGAAAAATATTGTGCTCAGAGAATCTTAGAAAGACAACAAGAAACAATTTAGCTTAAAGATATGCTGGATTTCATGAATGATAATTGAGAAGGAAAAAAACACATACTTCCTCGAATTAAGTTGTTTCTGTTTGGTCTCCTCCCTTCAATGTACAACTGGTGTCCACCAATCTGAACAGTAGATGCCTGCAACAAAGTTTACTTAATTGTCAATACATATTCTGAAGGTAAATGCAGTAATTAGTCTTAGTTGACAGTATTAGTTACAATTAAATGAAGGGGAGAAAAATAAGAGATACAAGATAATACACAACTTCCGCAGCACTTTACTTGGATTACCTCCATTTTGTGCCAATTCATTTGACCCCATTCACAAAATAGCACCATTTTCACTTATTCAAATTACAAAAAGATAGGATGTCAATCCATCGCAGCCTTCCTAGCATTGTCTTGTTTGATTTTCGTACTCTTTGGAAGATGAAGAGTTTAACTAAGAATAATTTTAGCAAGTCTAAGCATTCCCAATTAACTTTGGGTTAAACTACAGCAGGTTTTTACATATTCCCCACGTAACCTGACTTTACTTTAGCACGGCAGACGGCAATCACGATGCTCAATTAGCAATGGAAATTACCGAACAAAGTAATGCTTATCCCGGTTCTGTTCCATTGGTAATGTTTGTACTTTTATTCCCTAATTATCATGATATTCAAATCGCATCATTAAAATCAAGACGGAGGGAATAATAATAGCAACATAACTGGCGAGGAACACATCTAGAAGCACCAGGCAGAAATGAAAAACTTATGAGTATTGAAACCTAAACACAAAAAGTATAATTAAAGATTTGCTCAAATTTTGAAATGTTAGTTCAAACCTCAATTGCATTCTGAACACCAGTTACATCTTCAAATTCGACAAATGCATAGCACACATCAATGTCCTGCATCACATCAAACTCCAGATGAGCTTTATATTGACCTAACCTAGATTCAGGAGTAGACAAGCGAAAGATGATAGAACAAACCTTTCGCGTTCTAATGGCAACAGCATCAGGCTTTAGTTTACCAAACTTTTTGAATTCCTCCTCGATTTCATAAGCCGCCATCGTTGTAGGCACGTTTTTGACATATACAGACTTGACTTCAACTGCAGAAAGTTCAAAAAGGAAAATCATGTAAGCATATCACTCAAATGAGGTCCCTTAAGAAAAGAATACACATTCCTGAGAAGAAAGGATGAGCACGTTGTACCAATGTACGAGAAACTAACCTTCATCTTCCACAGCTGAAGCCTCTTCTGTTGCCTCTGTTATAGACCTCTCAATAGCATTAGTCGATGGAACCGATGACAGACTAGGAGGCTCTGACACATGTTGCCACTCTGAAGGAGGAGGTGTAGGTTTGTTGAAAGAAGACTGAGCTGGTCCTCCTTGTGCAGACTGCCCTTTAGTAACCTGTAACTTCCAATTTAGAATCAGGCAAATAAAATTAGTTCATAGCAAAAGCATACTCAATACAATATGAGAATGTAAGGTAATGGCATACAATAGAAGCATAAGTGTGCTTTTGGGGCTCTGCAACTGGTTCCTCAATAGGACTGGATAAATGTTCTTGTACTGCATTAATTGTACTTTGAAGTGAGCCATTTGACTGTGCTGCAAAATTATCTTCAAGGATCTTCTCAGCTTCAGGGACATGCTGCAGCCGTTCCTCCGGAAAACTGTAGTTATTGACAGGCCCATTATCTTGAATTTTAGGAGGAGCAGCAAACTCCCTTGCCTGGATTTCTCCACCAAGCATGTAGTTGGGTACTGCAGAAACCATCATTAATCTTTTAAATATGGACATTTTCTTTTGGACAAGTTATATTATAGTACTGCAGCATTAGTACACAGGACTGCAGAGAAACTGACTTCCAAGTCTTTATTCAATTGCATCGACATTTAAGAATCTACTAAAAGGCGGACAGGATATTTCCTCAGCACAGGATGAGACATTATGACATAGACAAACTATAAACAACACTGAACATGCTGATGTGAGGCCTTTCCTGTTCAGTAGGACGCAAATGTTTGGTGATTAGTGCATAATTACAACCTGTACAAGCAACTAGAGCTTTAGCTTTTAGCATCTATTTTTTGGAACGCTTCTTGAAGGTGCTTCAAAGGGAAGCCTATTTTGGAAAGCTCCAGTTCGGTGCTTTCCTGTCATCATTATTCGCTAGGATTAGGACCATCTCCAAACATCTTTTTGTCTTTCTATTTAATATTTTCTAGACAAACTACTTCAAAGAAGTACAAAAACCTTTTGGGATATCTCTACTTCGACCCTGAAATAATTACCACAAAGAGAACCCTTCTGTGTACTGAAACACATTAGAGATGTTAAACTTTACCATTTCAAAAAAATACAGATGTTTCAGAGTGCAATCTTTTTCCCAAGTTATAGCTGTTGAAAGAAGAGATGGAGTATTTTTCTTCAACTTTTCCTTCAAGTTAATTACCTAAGAGTGTGGGTTACATAAAGAAACAAAACCAATTTATAGCATATCACTAAAACTTCTCACCAGAAAAAAAATGTGACAATTGGGAAACTAGTGAGGTTTGGCTTTTGGAGCAACTAGAAGTATTCTTCCCTACTTCATCAAAAGAAGTATTCTTTCCTAACGACAACTTAGCTAGGGTGAAGCATTCACCATGCTCCCCCTCGCCGCATGGTTCTGTTAGTTACACACCCCAACACCCTCGCTCTCCCTCCGAAAAAGCTAAGAAAGAGAAAGACCTTAACAGTACACTAAATAATTTCTTCTTTTTTAGAGAGAGAGAGAGAGAGAGAGAGAGAGAGAGAGAGAGAAACAACAATAGTGAGAGGATCTACCCATCAGACATATCTTAGGATGAAAAGCTTGAAGATTGAACTCATACCTTGCTCTTGAATTGCAGTGGAGACATTCAGCTTGGAATCGAGGCTAGTCTGCCCTAGATAGGGCACCGGATGCTGAAGAATTTGTTCCTCATCAACATAGTGAAAGATATCATTGAGGACAAAGTATCCCTTTTCCTGGGGTGCAAGGAAAAATGTTTGTACGAACTTCCTACTCCTGTTGATACCTTTCACGTGGACAGAACCTGAAACCATCACTAGGACACCACCATTCCATGATTCCAAGGAATGAAGTGTCTTAATCTCTATCCCAGTATAGTGAAGCGACATGACGAGGGTGTGGATTTGCTGCACAAAATCACAGAAAGAACAATGAAAAAGAGCAGAATAAATCATATTGGGGCCAAAGGAACATGACAGAACATGAACCATTTTATTAGCTAGTTGAAAATGACCTGAAGTTCTATTATACTGGAATAGAAGTTGTTCAATGATAAAGCTTTTCTTTTTGAACAGGGGTTCAAAGATAAAGCTTTTCTCTTTTGTCTATTTGAAAATCTTTCTTTTATTAGTAATAGAGCATGTCACATGTCAACTCACTGGTAGTTATGATTCTTTTTATGAAGTAACTCACTGGTAGTTATGATACTAAGAAGGAACTCAAGACACCAGCAAAATATGGAGTGCCTTTGATAGAAGTGTACATTTTGGGACTCACATAACAGAAAAGGGGAGTGGTGGTGGAAAGAAGTATACACGATGCCACTTCTTTCAGATTTCAACTTCTAGAGGACAGAGAGAAACCACTTATGCGGCTGACTAGGGAAACGGAGAACTTGATGGACATAGCTTCTATATTTGGGTTTCAGAAAGACTGACTTTAACCTAAATACCTAGAACATGGAAGTGAAAGCTGCACTCAGCAGATAGTTTTCCATATTAGAGCTTTGTTTTAGAACAGGGGCTAACTTCATGGAAGAACTCCTCAAAGCTAATCTGAAACTTATGGACATCATAGAGATGACTACAGAACCATGCTCCAGTTAAGAACATGTATCGAGCAAGATCAAACAATCATTGGCCAGCCCAATTATATCCCATACAGTCCTAATAATGATTGAATTACTCTCAACATAATTAGTCATACATTAGTAATAAGCTTCAATTAGCACATGACAACTGAAACAGCTAAACAAAATCAAAAGGGTGCTGGTCCAATGTTAAAGTCAGCCCTGTACAACACATCTAGAGCAACAAAATCAAGAATATTAATCATCTAAGTAATTTTTGTGCATTTAATGTCCAACTCAATGGATGGACAACTTGGAGAGTACTTTAGTTTAATGTTTTGGCTTCTGCTGTTGATCTATTTGAAGCCAAACAAAACAGTAAAAGCACAAGAATAAGAGACTTCAACTTGGTTTTCACCATTGTAAATTGAATAAACTTGGATCAGCCAAACTCTGGCATAAATTAACCAAATTCCAAGGCAAACAACCAAAAACACTTAATTGAGAAGTAACTAGAAAGAAGGTTTTACTCATAAGCAAGTACAAAGAAGTAAGGCACTTTAGATAAAATACCAGCATCCCTGAAGCGGTCTCCCTGGTGCTGGAATCAATTCGAAGCACGGTACTAGCATCACTGTAGAACTGGTGAACAAAATCGGGCTGGGTCTGTAACATCTGATAATACTGGCCCACGAAGTACGTCCCAACCTGAAACATTACCGAAACCCCAGAAACAAATGAAATTCAAATCCCAGCCATTAAAAACAATAAATCAATCAGAATCCTTCAATCCCAAACAAGTTGGGATCAGCAATATGAGTCCTAATATTCCGCTCTATTTAGGCTCATTTCATTCTACCACTGATAAGTAATTTGTCTTCTAAGGCAAATTAGGGCTCTATAGAGCTAAAGGTTCTCTAAATCACACACACCCTTACTTAATCTAATGTAAGTGCAACAAAAACAACTAACCCTTAATTGGTTACTCCTAAACAAGTTTTTCTTCTTTGGGACATATCCTTAACTAGTTGGTACTGCCTATATATCTCGTTTGTTTCCATTGCATTATATTCTTAATTGTTCGCATTGATTACTAGAGATTGCGGCTCTTTTCAGAAAATTTATCCCTTTTTAGGAGATTCAATCACTATAGTATTCCAACTATATACAGGTGCATTTAAAAGGAAAATAAACACAACAAAAGTATTTACCTCTAGTAGTTTATATATCTCTTAAAAGTGGATGTAGACATGCATACCCATATAGAATTTAACTTTATGCATTGATATTGTAAAGAACTTTTACACTGTCAAGTCACTTAAAAGCCAATTCAACGTGGATTGGTAACTAGCAAAACAGGGCAAACGTCATGTTTAACAGCAGATAAAACTAAAATGGTTGTGTAAATTAGTTTACAATGTCAGAAGTCATTTGGTTTGAGAAAAAGGTTATACTGGGATTATAATGGGGGGATTATAATGTACGGATTAAACAATAACGGGATTATTTAGTGGATATACTATTTTGGTAGATGTTTGACTTATTGGATTAAAAATGGGATATACAGGGTATAACATAAAACATGTATTTGGTCACAATAGATAAACTTTAATTTCCGATTTTCACTTTAAAGGAGGGCACTTTTGTCATTTGATGTTTTATCCCGTGATTAGCTCGTCAGATATCATTGAGAAAGAAATAGGAAGAAGTGTTATCAAACGGTTTCTGCAATTCTTCCAAATATGGAATGAGTAAGGAATCAAGCTACAAGTCTCGATCTATACAAAAAGCTCTCTTTTTTTTTCTTTTCTATACAAAAAGCTCTCGATTTCTTTCTTTCTTTCTTTCGGTTTCATTAATAACAGAATAGACTTAACCTATCTCGAGATTGCTATCACACATTAAATGTGGTATAAAAATAATACCAAAATTGTAATATAGCTAATCCCGGATTTACTTATAACGGAAATTAAAATTCATTCGGATTACTTGTAACAGAAATAAAAATTCAACCGAACATGAATTTACATAATCCAACAATTTTTATCTCGGGATTATTATCCTTATCCTTCTAACAGGCTGTCTACAAGTTAAATCCATCCATATATAACCACAGATATCAAAAACCCAAACAGCAAAAGCTAAAGCTACACACAAACAAACAAACGTTCCTCCCCTCTACTCAACTGCTTTACAAATGAATAAACACACACGGAAGCAACGGTTTATAACAAAAGGAATGCCTTGACACTCTATTCAACGGCTCTACGAATGAATTATACAGACAAGGAAGAAACGGTAAGAAGTTAAATAGTTTTCATCAGTCTAAGTGACTGGCAAGTGAAAAGAGAGTGAAAGAGATACCTGAGCAGCAGTGACTGGCAAGTGAAAAGGCGTTGCCATTGAGTAAAACACGGTGGCAACGGCGGCGGCAGAAACGAACTAACAAAATCCAATGAAATGAGAATCAAAACCCTAGATCTACTAAAGATCTAAAATCCACAATCCAAAAACCCTAGATTTCACACATTCAACATTCACATTGCCGCAAGCAAATAGCAGCAGAAGAAGAAGAGAGTGTATATATATATTCCGTTACTTTCCACTAACAGCAGCAATAGGCACTGAGTTCGTCAGTCACGAGCTAATCACTTTCTAGAGAGAGAGAAAAATGGAGTGAGGGCTCGTGACCACTGGTCTAAAATGCTTAGAGAGAGAAAGAGCTGCTGACGCGTTAGAATAAGGAGGATTTTGTAGGTTGGTGAGAAAACATGCGCATCTTAATAAACAGCTGTGTTTTGCACGGTTTTGGTGCTGGTTTTTTATTGGTTGGGTAAATGTCCGCATGTTTTCAACCGTTGATTTAGACCTCATTGATAGGGCTTCTTTTTGGTTTTTTTAGTATTTGTTTTGCTTAGGATTATCTAATAGTGTGACGTTTGCCTAATTGGTAGAGATAGCAAGGGGGGCGAGGAAGTAAAACGGGTAAGGCATGAGTAAGATCGGATAACTATGGATATCTATTAGTAGTAGTAATGTGTTGTTCTTGGCGGGGTGGAATAAGGAAACACTTAAATGAAGTGGACATGGAGCGAGACGGAGGCAAAACGAGTTAAGGTATAAGTAAGGTCGGACAACTATCGATATTTATTAATAATGTATTGCTTTTAGCGAGATGGAACTTGGAAGAGGGAAGCACTTAAGTAAAGTCGACAATGGAGCAAGACAAGGCAAAACAGGGTAAGGCATGAGTAAAATCGGATAACTATCGATATCTATTAGAAGTAGTAATGTGTTGTTCTTAGCGGGGTGGAATAAGGAAACACTTAAATGAAGTGGACATGGAGCGAGACGAAGGCAAAACGGGTTAAGGTATGAGTAAGATCGAACAACTATCGATATTTATTAATAATGTATTGCTTTAGCGGGATGGAAGAAGGAATCACTTAAGTAAATTGGACAATGGAGCGAGACAAAGGCAAAACGGGGTAAGGCATGAGTAAGATCGGACAACTCACTAATATCTATTAGTAATGTATTGTTCTTAGAGGGGTGAAACAAGGAAGCGCTTAAATGAAGTGGACAATAGAGCGAGACAGAGGCAAAACGGGATAAGGGATGAGTAAGATCGGACTACTAACGGTGTCTATTGGAGTAGCAATGTATTGTTCATAGCAGGGTGGAACCAGGGGCGGACGCAGGATTTTTCGTAAGCGGTGTCGCATTTAAAGAAGTGAACAAATAGATAAATTACTGTCACGATACACACAAAAATATACAAATTCGAATCTTATTAAGCAAATGAATTCAAGTATAATACTAAAACCCTCCTCAACAAGTTTTTATTTTTTGAAATGTATTCAGAATATTCTTGCTAGACATAATAGTAAATACTACCTTTTCTATATATAACACTAAGCAATCACTTAAAACTCTTTCATTATTTGACTTTACAATTTGGGTTTGGACTAACTTCATCTTCCCCCAAGAAAAAGATAGAAAGAAAAAGATAATAAAAAAAACTTACCATGGAACATACTTGGAGAAAAACAAGTTTTTTAGCAGAAAACCGCTGAAAATCTTACTCAGGATGAAGCTGCTCAAGTTCGAACCCAGGACCTCGCCTAAAAAAGTGAAGCACTTGACCAGCAGAGCTAGCGAGAAATATGTGTAAAGTTGCGTCATTTTGTTTTGTTTATTTAATAAAATATTTTTTGTACGTATAATTTACACATGTTTAGTGAATTTTTCCGGCAAAGCGGTGTCATCCGACACCGCTTACACCAAGGTGCATCCGCCCCTGGGTGGAACAAGAAAGCGCTTAAATGAAGTGAGCAATGGGGCGAGACGGAGGCAAAACAGAGCAACGTATGAATACGGTCAGACAAAATCTATTAATGTCTATTTTCGCGGGATGAAGCAAGGAAGCACTTAAATAAAGCGATCCGATATAAAACAAAATTCATTTTTCAAAAATAAATAACATGGCAGGATGCGAGTGGGGGCAATGGAGATTGGAAAAGAGGCTGGGAGTAGGGGTGTTCATAAAAACCCGAAAAATCGAACCAAACCGAAAACCAAACCAAACCGACCAAAAAAATCGATACTTTTTGGTTTGATTTGGTTTTGGTTTTGAATTTTAAAAACCGATCAAATTTGGTTTGGTTTTGGTTTTAATAAAAAAAAGCCGAACCAAACCGACTATAGGAGTAGCTATTTCAAATTTATTATTACACCTATATATATGTATATTTTTATACAAAATTTCAAAAATTTAATGGTAAATGTTAATAGTTTGCACTTTTAGTATAGTTCTTTACCTTTACATTCTAGTTTGATGGTAGTTTTCTTTTGCTAAGTGTAAAAATCCATTTCGTGTTAAAAATAATATATTTTTAATTGAGTCCTTAAATTATTCATTACTATTCGATTCAATTATCATCAATATATCTTGGTAAATAATAGATTTCTCAAAAGGCAATTGATTTGATAGTGTTACGTTGAAAATGTGGTCGCCGGAATATGTGTTTGACAGTGTATGTCTTATATTTAAGAAAAAATCGACAAATAACCGAAAAAACCGAAAACCGACATAAACCGAATTGAGAAAAAACCGACTTAATTGGTTTGGTTTGGTTCTAAAATTTGAAAAACCAATTTACTTAATTTGGTTTCTTTTAAGGGAAAAAAACCGATTCAAACCGAACCATGAACATCCCTAGCTGGGAGCGATCTTAGTTCTCTTGAACCATGTCGGTAGTATACATTAATAACAAGAAGTGAAAAAGTATAAATACGAAAAAAATTAGAGTAAAAAACATCAATTATCTAATGAATAGCGTCTTTGGAGGATTCCATTTTGTTTTATCTGGATTTGTCATTATTCGAGGATCGTTCATATTAAAGGTTCTCTATTTATTTATTTTTCTCGACATATAAATCTCTAAGTATATTTAGAAAATTCTTTAAATGTGATGTTTGAAAAATTTACGATATAAATAATAAAAGTATAGCACGACTTTTTGGTTCCTTTGACCCCCCCCCCCCCACTACCCCCCCCCCAACTATTTATGTTATAGCTATATATAAAATTTATTTTTCATTGTTTAGGAGTATATTAAGCTTGATAAATTTTAATCAGCTTTAGCAAATTAATCACCCATGTTTTGTTAGCGTAGTTACTTAATTGTTAATTATGAAGTGAATCTAATTGTGTGAATCAACTCTAAATTGTTATATGATAAAAACTAAACTCGTGCATTTAGGGTATGTTTGGTATGAAGGAAAACATTTTCTGGAAAATATTTTCCAATTTTCCCATGTTTGGTTTGCTTAAATGTTTTGAAAAACATTTCCCTTATGAATTCATTTTCCTCCAATTGGAGGAAAATGTTTTCCTTTATCAAAAGAAGGGAAAACATTTTCCAAAGCTCTTTCTCAACCTTTCTCGCCCTCACCAACTCACCCCACCCCCTTTCCAAAAAACGTTTTTTTTTTTAAATTTCAGTTTTTCCGTTACCATCCACCTACTA